ATGGATATTTTCTTAATTGGTACACGCGGCAGTCACCTCCAAAATAAAGCCATAATGCGTGCTTCCTGCTTTTATTATGGTGTCAAAAAGGTCTTTTTCTATAGTTTCAGAGCTTGTTTATTGTGATTTGTGAGACCTTTTGTTTTTTGAGTACTATTATATGTGATAAATTTAAATTTTTATTAGAGGAAAAAATAGAGTTTTAGCTTTTAGAAAGTTGAAAAAATAAGTGAAAAGAAGTAAAAAGAAAGTTTATGAAATGTTTGGATTTGAAACTTTTGAATTTTTATTGTTTAAAAATTTTTTGAGATTAAAAAAATATTTAAAAGTATAAATTTTTAAGAGGAAAATTTAAATTCATAAAATATAAATAATAACCAGAAACTGAAGCTCCTAGGAGCCACACCAAACATGCCCTTAAACGAGTTTTTCTAATCTCTATTGGAGGAGTACGTATTAAAAACATAGTAAATATATTTTTTTATTATAAATTTATATTAAAAAATAAAAAATAATTTTAAATTTATTAACCGTTTAATTGAATTTATTTATATAGTAACAATATAAAAATTAATATTAGCTTATATATTTTTGTATATAATTTTTTTAAATATTTTTTATGATGGATCATATAAAAAAATATTTTAAAAAAATCACTTTACCCTTGATTTAATATTTAAATATAAAATTTTTAATTTAAAATCACTATTTTTAACCATTTGAGTTATCTTTAAGACGTGAATTTTATTTTTTTATATAAATTAATAATAATGAAGTGCTTCTTAACATGCGCCTAAAAACACCCTTTTAAATATCAGTTTAATTTAAGCTACTTCGTGGAATATATCACAAATAAATTTCAAGGCAATATAATTAACTTGTTTCAAAATATTGATCATTTATACCATGTAAAATTACCCGTATATACTCTTCAAATTGTAGATTTTCTCCATTATGAGAACCTAAATCATGTTCTAATTTCTAAACCACCAGTTATCTCATGCATCTGTCTCTTTCTATATATTATATGTTGTTGGTGAGAAGGCACCAATGATAGCCCAGGCCTATGCGTTCAAGTTAATGCCATGGAACCTTCTCGACCCTAACATAACGTCACCCATTATTAATTACGGGATTGTCTAAAAACACAGGTTAAACAATCATGGGAGGAAAGACAAGAAGGGTATAAACGTCTCAATAAAAAAATTAAAATCTCATTATTAAAGTTCTTAAAAAATTTAAATAGAGATATTATATTAAATATATTAAATACATTTTAATTTTCTATTAATTATTCACTAACCTGTGCCTAAGGTACAGGTTAGATAATCCCATTAATTATTTATTTAAGACTTAAGAGCAGCAAAAAATTCTCACCAAATACATGCTTATTTTGCCGCCTCTGCACAAACAATGGAATTAGTTTTATAGTACATAAATGATGGAATATGAATTAATCATTAATTTTTTTATTATTAACAAAAAAAAGAGAGAAATGATCTTCCAATTTAGGCCCACTTTCTAGAAATGTGATTTCTCATGAAGCTTTCCACTTCTTTTCTTTTAAAACCTTTTTCTTTAATTGTTGATTTCTCTAGTAATATTCAATAATACGAAGCTTGATCAAGTTTTAGGGAATCAAAATTTAGAGTCTCTGTTTTGTAATTTTAACTGTATTAGACTAGAAAACATATAATTAGATGAAAGGAGGGCCCCTAATATCAATGAGCATGCACTCATTCAATGTTATTATTATATAATTTTTTTTTTAATATTGGTTGCAAAATGGGAAGTAACTTTTTTTTATTTTTTATTTCACCCCACTTACATACTATTCAATTTAAACTCAATATCTCCTACTTCCAGCAAAAATAAGTTATTACTGAATTACTTAAATTGTTGGTTTTTATTATATAATTTAATATAATTTAAATTGTATATATAAATTATATAGTGGAACTTTTTAGAAGGGTGACTTAATATTAGGCCCATTGCTTTTTAAGGGTTTTGAAACATTTTTGAGGCCATGGCCCCTAACTTTAATGAAGTTCGTCCCAGCTAGCCAATCAACCTCCGGTGGGAATGCTAAGTTGGAACAGAGATTTTCTGTTTGGGCCGCAAGGTAGATATTGACTTCTTGTTCGACTATGAGGCCCGATCAGGAAACCCACGGTTTACTCAATTTGGGTTCCAGCCTAGAGATACTTGTCATGTTTAGAGGCCTGGCTTCTAATAGACAAGCCCAGCCAGCCAGGCAACCAATGCGCAGTGGTGAGAAAATTTAAAGGTAAAATCCTACATTAAACTCTTGAATTTATTTTAAATTTTTTATTAAAATTTTAAATTTAATAATTTAGATAATTTAATTTCATTGTTTTACAGTAAACTTAATATTTATTTGTGTTTTACTTGCATAAATATTATATTAAGATGTCATTTTTTATGTGGTGAATATTGACTTTATTTACATAAGTAAGGCATAAGTATATATTAAGTCCATGACCAAAAAAAGGATTAAATTGCCCAAATTGCTAAATTTAAAAGTTCAATTTAATTTTACAAAAATTTAAGAACTTAATTGGGAAGCTCAGACAAATTTAAGAGTTTAACCTAGGGTTTTGTCAAAATTGAAATTGTAGTTGGCTTGGCTGTGTTTATGGAGAAATAAAATATGAGTTCATTGTTCGTTTCAAAAAAAAAAAGAAAAAAAGAGTTCATTGTTTTATAATTTAAATTATAAAACAAGAATTCCTAAATGAGAAAAATAAAACTTTTCCCATCTAACGAATCAATATTTTATCGTTTGCAATAATTCAAATTGTAAAACAATTTTTTTTTATAAAATATTGAATCCCTTTCAAACCTTTGAACTAAAAATAAAAACAGTTCATGATTATCTATTTTCTCATGCTGATTAATCTGATAATTTTTATATATTTAATTAGGGATTTTTTTGAGTTAACTGAATTTTTAGATAGTACAAAACTACAACCACTTGTCTTTTCTTTCTTCCTTTTTTTTTTTTTTCCTTAATCATTCCAATTGGAATCAAAATGTCATGACAAATGCATACTCATTCAAAACTGACCATACACGTAAGTTAATAGACAAAAAATTAATTCATTCATAATCATGGTTCACAATAATGGTATAACAATTAACCCAAGAGTTCCTTCACCACATAAGCTAAGTGTTATCAGCTTGAGGATTTGAATATCGAGTCAGCACTTAAAAAAAATTAAAAATCAATAAAAATAATTAATTTTAAGATGCATCTAAACTAGTTCAAAAACAACCAAATTATTATTATTATTATTATTTAAATAATAGATACAACAATAAACAAGGGAGATAGTGCACTTGGCCTGTGTGGTCCAGTAGCTAGAGTCATTGAAAAGTGCACATTTCCCGAAACCTGCCCATGATAAAACTGTTCAAAAAAAAAATAAAATAAACGAGGGAGATAGTGAAACACATTTCATTTCATTTCATTGGCTTAATAATGAACCTAGTTTATAAAAAGCTACAAGTTGATTATAACATGATTAAATTAAAACATATAAAGAAAAACAGGTGCTATATCCGTAATCCATGTCTGGCTGCAAAGCAGCACCTGATTAGCAGAGCCGGTGAACAGCAATATTCACACATAAGGAGGAGATGAAAAGATTCAAACCCCACCTAACCTTTTTGCTTAGCGCGGGTAAAACAGAAAGAAGCAGATCAAAAGCCAATAAGAAGCTTCCCCAAAATACTACAAAACTAAATAAACAAATGTCACTGCCAAAAATATAAAATGCCATTGATTTTGTCATTTCTCTTTTCTCTGTTATAAAGGCAGGATTCACGACATTTGAGATGAGAAAAGGCAGGCTTCTTCTTTTTCTTTTCACTACCCCAAGGCTCTCCGGCCTCCCCTCCTATTTTCATTAAGTACTGTCTCGTCTCTTAGCTCCATCTAACTATTGTTGTCTGAAAGGAAGAAGGAGAGAGACAGTGCTTCTTTTGCTTTCTGGGTGTACCCTTGTGGGTCATTGTTCATCAGTTTTTTCAACATTGTTCTTTTTTGAAGTAATAGTCAAAGCTTTTTCCTTTGGTTGGATAAACTGTTCAACCTTCATGTCTAGTCCCTTTCTTGCGACACAGCGGTTTACATCGAAATGATGCTGATGGGTAAAAGGCCCTTTTAAATTATAGGGGAGGTTCCTGTACATGGTCTTGGAAATAATGGATCTTGCAAGCCCTAAATACTTTCAAGCCTCATCTTTTGGGGTAATAACGGAGTTGATTATTGAATTGGGTTTTTGAATGTTTATCAGGGTTCTGGGTTTGTGTTGCTTTAATTTGGGTGTTTTGGTTTTGTGATTCAGGGACCGCCATTGGAAACGAGCACGAGCTTTTATGGGAATAGCAAAGGGAACCCTTTTGGGGAAGCTTTTCCAGACCCACTTTGCGATCTCAATCTCAAGGAGACGTCTGAATTTGTGAAGTCATTTCCAATGGCAGCGGTGAACGGCGGCGCAGAGAGTCGAGGTGGGTTTTTTCCAGTGCAGAGAAGGAAAGAGGGAGCTAACCCAGTCACCACAGCCCAGAGGAGGGTAGCGGAGGCTCCCTCCACACCAGGACGACCTGTTTTCAGCTTTGGCGGCGGTAGCCTTGCCAGGAAGAGCATTCCTTCAAAGTGGGATGATGCAGAGAAATGGCTAATGAGCAGTTCCTGCCATAGCTCTCCGGCACACACCTTTAAACCGTCGGAGTCCTCAAAGATTACCAAACAGATGGTGGTTTTAGCAGAGAAATCAAGGGTTGTAGAGCAAGAAATCCCCAAGCTCGTCTCAACCTTTCAAGGCTCTGTGTCTTTGGACCACCATAACTCAGCCAGAGGAGCTTTTAATGGGGTCTCTACTTCTACTGATGTTCTTCTAAAAGGTAGGAATCTAAATTCATTTCAGCTTTAGTAAAATTTGTTGAGTTCTGACCTCTTTTGCTTTTTGCTCCACTATGATCATTATAATAGTCCTTTCCCTTTTTGTCTTTTGAATGCTGAATATATGAATCTATTCTACTATTTGATTAGGTTCCTTTTTAGATAGGAAGATAAACTCTGCCTGGGTTTTCATTGATAATTAATGTGGAAATTTTTTATTACCTCTGTTGTTTTCATTTTGTGAAGATTGGATCATTTTGTTTCCAGAACGAGACATTTTGAATGAGTTGTAAAGTAGCACTAGGCCCCAGTAGTAACCATTTTTCCTTCATTTCTCAAGAACCAAACAGGATTGGTTCTGTATTTTTCATCAAGAGTTCCCTTTCTGATTATTTAGGCTGGTAGTGATGGATATTTTGTTCATTTTTCTAATGATTACAATTGGATTTGCTGTAAAACTTGGATTATATGGAGCAATTCTTACTCAGTTTGTTAATCAATGTAGACAAGTTCACGGATGATGTGGAACCAGTTTTACCGAATTTGAGATACTTGGAACCCTCAAAAGAAGGGTTTCTTTTCCGGAACTCAGCCTGTGAAACCATGAAAGATGCGGGCACCGAGGTACCCCATGATGTTAAACATAGAGATGTTGGGACAGAGATGACTCCTCTTGGGAGTTCCACAACATCCAGATGCCACACACCATTCAAGAGCTCATCCCCTGCACGACACAACACACCAGCCGATAGGTCCGGACCGTTGGTCTCTGACAACTCCAACAGCTCCAACAGCACAATTGACATTTCCCAGTTACAAGAGTGCCATTTAGCTAAACTACAACTTGGGACACAATATGACTCTATCGCATCAAATTGGAGCACAAGGGAGGAGGAAGAGGAAGAAGTATCAAAAAGCCTTAGACATTTTGAAACAGGCAATGCATTCCGGAAAAGCATATCAGATTCTAGGGCTGCTGCTTGGGAGGAAGAGGAAAAGACTAAGTGCTGCCTTAGGTAATCATATCTTCAATTTTCAGCATTCTTGATGTTTAATTACTGTGAAGACATTGATATTGATCAATACTGGTGTCACAGGTACCAGAGAGAAGAAGCAAAAATCCAAGCTTGGGTAAACCTCCAAAGTGCAAAGGCAGAAGCTCAATCAAGAAAGCTTGAGGTACATTCCATCTTATTCAATCCTTTTCTTTCAAATTTCAAATTTCAAATTTCTTCAGCTTTAATATCCCAACTACCCCACAATTATATTCCACTAATTCCAGTTAGTTAGGTATTGCTAGGACTCAGGAATGATTTCAGCCAAGTGGTGAAACCCTACATTGGCAGTGAAATTAAATATGAACATCCCCAAGAACAATCCCCATATCTATCAAAGTTGCATGTGTTTAACCTTAGTTTGAAAGAGATTTCCAAACTTGTTTTTGGCTTGGTGGGCCTACCCCTACTCTCGAGCCACCCGCTACCCTAAAACGTCCTTGGCCTTCTATTTTCTTGACCGGTCCACCTCTATTAATGTGTCTTCCAATAATTCTATATTGCTATTATGTACGTTCTTCCCTGATAAAGAAATAAGAAGAAAGCTAATAGTCATCATGTCACTATTTTTATACTCCAGTTCTTGTTCTTGTAAGTTGTAACTTGTAAACCCATGTGAGTATCTTAGCTAGCATATAGAAATCCGTGGGGAATTGGAATATTCACTTCAACTTTGGCGTTCTCATGCTTGAATTAAATAATGTTTGAAGGCTCTGTTTGCCACTTTTGTAGGAATCTGCAGCCATTTTTGATTGTATTAAACTGAACCCTTTTCAGGTGAAAATACAAAAGATGAGGTCTAACCTGGAAGAGAAGTTAATGAAGAGGATGGCAACTGTTCATAGAAAAGCCGAGGACTGGAGGGCAGCTGCGCTGGAACAGCATACCGATCAAATTCAGAGGGCAGCAGAGGAAGCACGGAAGATGAACCGACCCAACTCGCTCCTTTCCAGCCACAGCTTATGTGGTTGTTTCCCCTGCAATAACACTTACTAATGGAGAGGCAGAATGATATATATACTTCCAATGTGCATGTTATTGTTTCCTGCTATAAGAAACTTCGAGATTACATTTTTTGGTTCTTGGTGTTAATTTTTTTTTTTTTTTTTT